TTTTTGAGGAACGATCATAGTTTCAAACCAAAAATCAAATATGGTTAGATGCGCAATAAAATTCTCTATCGAACCTGCTATTCAGCTTTTTGATACTTTCAAATTTTTAAATCCGGCAGGGTCCTTTTAGATTTAATTCAGACATCATCTCAGATAGATAATTCGTTTTGGTTCCGAGAACTGACCCATGAAGGCTAGTTCAGCTCTGCGACTAAGGAAACTCAGATACTTTGTAAAATATTCTAAAATCAGAATTAGAAAACACAAATACTCTAAAAGCAACGTAAACAAACAAGTAAAAGGAATACAGAGGGAGGCAGCAGATAAAGTAGTACCGCACACAATAATAAAGCGCAGAAATGCAGATCGACTTTGGTTTCCGGATAAATTACGACCATTGCTAATGAAATGGAGTGTAGCATTTTGATAACATAATAAAAAAGACGCAATTCCTAGTAAACAGAAATATTTCCAGTTATCTAAGGAATCTGAAGATATATGCAAGCAGTCAAAAGAAGAATACATCGAACGGATAAATAACACAAACTATTTGAATGAAGTACACCGTCCCCTGCGTTCTAAAAAAATGGAACTTTAGTCGTGTATTTCGAACAAGAAAAAGTGTCTGTATGCTTCTTCAAAATAATGGATGTCTCTCATCCGTCTTGAATGTATCTACGAGAAGGCACATAAAAGTCAAATGGGGATGATAAGGAAGAGGTTTAAACAAGAAAGTTCGTACTGGTCGCATCTTTATGGACGATTTGATGAATATTTTGTTTAAAAAAGTACTGAAAAGTCTAAAACGATCAACTCTACTTCTTAAACTTGGTAGCTTTTTCTACCTGTTCTGGAGGAAATGTTGTGCACTTTCGGTTCAAATATATATCGAAATTTTTACTTTGAAGAACAGAAAAGAAAAATCTAAAATACGAGAAGGTACATTTCTTCGAGAGCTTTTATGGAGAGAAAATTCATATCTCGTTCGCTTTTCGAAAAATAGGACAAAAAACTTATTTCTAGGTTATTGTGTACGCTCTACATGATAACCACGCTTAAAATAAAATCTTGTTTTGACCACATGATTACTTTTCTGAATGGCTATCTATTACCGCAATCATTAAAAGAACTTTTATTTTCATTCTCAGTGACATTTCATTTCTTATCTTTTCTTCAGATAAAAAATTGCCACTGTCTTTTTCTTGTCTGGTGGCAGTTTGTTGTATAAACTTTAACCAAATGTCAGTTAATTTACCAAAAAAAAAGAAATCGCGCTTGAAAAGAGTGTAGTACCGATGAAAAATCCACTTGTTCTCTTCTCATATAAAAAATGGTCGCAGAAGAACGAGAAGTTTGGGACAAACCTATTGAATTATTACTTTCGCTTATCGGGTGTGCCGTAGGATTTGGCAATGTATGGAGATACCCGTATATTGCTTACAAAAATGGAGGAGGTAAGATGCGAGAAAAATGCATCTAAATCTTAGTGAAAGTGCTCATAACATAAGTACGACTTATTCATACATTTGTGCATGATTACTCGTCTGAGTAGTCGGTCCATGAGTGAAAAAAATATATGAGCACTCGTCGTATTTTTCAGCAGAGTACGACTCTGATTATTTAAGCTTGGATATAGAGTCACCAGGGAAATGTTTTCTTATAGTTTTTTAATGAAAACATTTCTTTTTTCAAGGTGCATTTTTGATCCCTTACTTTTGTATGTATATTTTGGTGGGACTGCCGCTTTATTTTCTTGAACTGGCTTTGGGACAATTTGCTTCGATTGGAGTTTCAAAAGTATTTCAGTTATCTAGCATATGGAGAGGTAAGATGTTTATAAGAATCTTTTGATATTTATTATGACGTTGTTTCTCAAGGTCTCGGATGGTGTATGGCTTTGCAAGCATTCACAACTTCAATTGTATACAATATGATAATTGGATGGGTGTTTTTCTATTTGTTCGCATCATTTCGAAAAAAATTACAGTGGACAACATGTACAAATTGGTGGAATACAGAAGGATGTAGAGAATTAGGTAAATCTGAAAGAAACCATAGAACTTTTCATCTTTACATCTGAAACTGCTTTCTTGTAGGCAAAAATATGACATTATCTGGAATTCAGTTTTGTGGAGGAATTAATAATATCACAACCAATTGCACTGTTCCTAAATTAGCTGCTGCAGAATATTTTGAGTAGGTACACAAAATTTGTATTGTTTTTTGTCATCAATGCACATATTACGTAACATAGCAGATCAAGAGCCTTTTATTTTCGATGCAAAATAATTCGAAGATTCGTCCATCTCTGCTGTAGCACTAAAATAATGTCCTACAGACTATTTAACACAAATTTACATGAACTATATTGTTTAGGAATTATGTATTACAAAAAAGTGATTCATTTTCCAATTTTGGTCTTCCAACATGGAAACTATCATTATGTCTATTATTTAGCTGGATTTTAGTATTTTTATGTATCCGACGAGGCATAAAATCATCTGGAAAAGTTGTATATGTCACTGCCTTGTTTCCTTATGTTGTCATATTTGCACTCATTATCCGAGGTAAGACTACATACTCAAATATGCTGAGAAAAATGGAATATTTCATTGTTGTCTTTTAGGTGTAACGTTACCAGGATCAAAAGCTGGTCTATTATTTTATTTTCTGCCAGATTGGAATAAAATGAAAGATATTAGTGTAAGCCAAATACTCACGAGGAACTTCTCCAAGCGATAGAACGTGCTACTAACTGTATGTAATTGCGAATACCAATCATTTGGAGAGTTTCATCGTCAGTTGTACTATTTAAAGTTTTTATGACTACTGCATATGGTAAGGTTCATTTTCTTTATTTCTTAGGTTTGGATGTCTGCTATTATTCAAGTATTTTATTCTCTCGGAGTATCATCAGGCGTCATTTTAAATTATTCAAGTTTTAGCAATTTCAAACATAATTTTATTAGGTTCTACAGTGTTCTCATTTTTAAAAACATTTAAAAACAACTTTTCTTCTTCTTCTGCTCTAGGGATTGTTTGGTTGCAATCACGTTCGATTGCTTTACAAGTATTTTAGCGGGTATTGCTATTTTTTCGGTCATGGGTTTCATGGCCGATAAGGTACATTTACCAATCAGTGAAGTTGTTGATTCAGGCCCAGGATTAGCTTTTATTGCTTATCCAGAGGCAATGGCACACATGCCACTCTCACAGTTGTGGGCGGTTTTATTTTTTTTGATGATGATCACGCTAGGACTTGATTCACAGGTAGTACAGAATAATTAACAAATATATACGATTTTATGCTCGAAGTTTTGATTTAGTTTGCAATGTTTGATGTTTTAATATCAGCTGTGCTCGATACTTTTCAATATCTACGACCTCATAAAACGATTGTAACCATGATACTTTGTGCAATTACCTTTTTACTTGGTTTACCATTGTGTGCTCCAGTACGTATACTACCTGTGTATTTATATATTATTGTTTATTGTATGTTTGAATAGGGCGGTATCTATTATTTTACATTAATTAATGAGTTCGTTCATTTTTTAATTTCTTTCACACTACTTTGATAGAGAAATCACGCCGCCTTCCCCTGTAGTACTGCCGAATATCAAACACTGCTTCGGTGTCCTTTTGCTTTTTCAATCGACTTCCGATTTGAGTATTCAGAACTGTAACTGATACCCATAAGATCCTAAGACTAATCGATCCGAAATCATTTTTCGAGAGACGATACCGTAAAAAATTATCCTCTTAGGCTTAGACGTTCATTCGGCACCGAAAAAGTGTCCCTTTTAGACGGTTAATCTCCGTGTATAAAACGTGGAATGTGTTAAAATGTTTTATTGTTTGCCATTTTCCTTGTGAACTACTGCATCAACTGAAAATTAGTTTTAGAATCGTGATCACCGTCTTCAAGAGTTAAATATTGGTATGTGGACTGCTATCTGATGACTCATCGTTTCTATGCTGGATTGAGTGTCACAGTAAGACAGTTTAGCGTATTTTACCTGAAACGCAATTTATTTGGTCAATATTCCACTTAAACGAAGAATTAAGTAAAAAATGTTTGGAAATTTTCTGTTTTTCTAGAAATCGCTAGCTTTTTAGATGAATGCGTTTTACATAAATGATGGCGCTAACTTTAGAATGTATTTATCTCGAAAACTAGGCATTTACAGAAGAAAAGAAAATCACTAAAAAATCTTGGTTTAATTAAAAACCTTCGCCAAATAAATTTCGTTCTAAGTAAAATAGTCACATCCGCTTTTGATCTCGTTTGTATTCGGAGATTTCGGTAAGTGCTTTCCTCTAAGGTCAGGAATCGACATACTTTAAACTATGGCACAAAAGACGTCTGTTATTTGTAAAGAACTAGACTATACCATTCGTCTTCATGTGTAGAACTAGACGATCACTTATCAGTATGTATTCTATACACAGTCTGTGCCTTGCATTATAGACGATAACTAGGACTAGAGTTGGCGTGCACTACTAATGTGCCATTTACACACTATTAGTGAACGCCAATATTTACTATTTTTTACAATGCGGTCTACTTTTTACAGGAGTTCTTCTGCTAAGAGATCCATTTTCTCTTACATGTTGAGTATTTTTACATCAATATACGCTTTCAACCGTCTAAAGTAGTTACGCACAAAGTTGCTTTTACTAGTCTTCTTGAAGATTGATTTTCACCCCTTAATAATTGATAAAACAGTAACAGCAGCTGATTTTAGATTCATGTTTATTTAATGATGAACTTTTATTATAAAGATAAAGTCGATGTTTCGAAAATTTTCATTTTTATTTTGAAGGCTATAGAGACGTTTAACACGATGTAAAGCTAAAACGAATATAAATAAATAAGTATACCAGTTAATAAGCTTTTGTGACGACCACTAAAATTGTCGATTTATTACTGATGTCGCAGAAAACTGTCTCTCCGATCATTCCTTTTGATTAAAACTTCAGAATGGTACAAGTGTAAGAATTACAGATTGGTTTATACCACTGCGAATATAACGAAGTACTGCGGGTAAAGCAATGCCATTTGTGTGTATCCGTAAACTGTTTTGTCTATTAACTGTGCTATAATGACGATGCATCAGTGAAACGAACAGAAAATATTTGATACGCATTGTCTAATAGATAACAAAATGTTTTCGAAACTGTACTCAACAGTCGAAAGTAAATAAATTGATAATTGCCAGAAATCATTTGATGGTTAACAAGACTTCGTCATATAAACAAACAATCGAGCATACCAGAAACTACGAGAGAACGAAAATTTTGACTGTTGTCCTCGTTCTTTAAAGAAATCATGACTAAGAGGCTCTAAGCAAGATACATTAGAAAAATTCTGTATTGAACACTATATTGAACACTGAAATTCACAGATTTTTCAGCAGATTTTTTGATAACTCGTAATCTATCACTTGTGGACTCGTAAAAAGTGAACTCGTAAGAAACGTTCTATTTTTTGTTTCTTCCGTTTTCTCTTCTACAATGCATGTCTTGCAGCTTACAAATGGATTTATTCACGCTCACACAAAATTGATTCCAGAGATAATACTAGAAACCTGCTTATCCTCGTTCTTTCACTAATGCAAAGGACATATTTCATGATACTTCTCTCACTTTATATATTTTATAGATACGCAACAAACTTGGCAACCATCATGGGTGCATTTTTAGAAGTAACAATTATTGTTTATCTCTATGGTACTGTATGGCATATTTAAAATATCTCTACATTCCATTGTTCACAAAAAAGTCTTTTGTTCACTCAGGTTTTGATCACTTTATGGATGATATTCGAATGATGATAGGACGACGACCATTTGAACCATATCTGTTTTTCACATGGTCTATAATAGTGCCTTTTATTACCTTGGTATGTGCCACTTTTTGACCGATAGTTACAAGTTTCTCTTTGTCAATTTGTATTGTTCTTAAAAGATACTCTTCGCCACATTGTTGCTTGGCTTTAATCCTCCGCAAGTCGGTTCGTATTTATTTCCCAGATGGGCAAATATCTTAGGTGGATTTATCACAACTTTTGTTATGTCTCCTATCTTGATTATTGGAATTAAAATATACATCAAATCATGGTATTCAACAAAATATGATATAACTGTAATGTATCATCTGGTTTCCATCTGCAGTTTTCTAGTATCATAATTGATCTCTCTTTTTAAATAGTCTACGACACCGCACTATCTTCGAGCATTACAACATTCCACTTGTCCATCTCGTCATTGGGGTCCATTTTTGGCAGAAAATAGACAAGGACGTTATGTAATGATAAATGATCAACAAGATGTTGAAACTAGGGATTTAAAAACTGATAAATCATATGGAATTGATAATGGAACGTTTACTCCTCGCATGGATCGTTTTTAGTTTTAACTGACTAATTCGTTGATTTATTTTTAAGTGTGAAAAAACTTTGAAGAAAGCATATTAATAAGATCCGTTGTTTTATAACTTTATTGATTCATAGTAGAAAAGGCCAGCGAAAAGGTCATTTTAGGCCTAATGTTTAACAATTTGTATTGAGATAACAAGGGAAAGTAGATTGAAATCAGAGGGGAAAGAAGGAGATAACAGTAACAATGAATATAAAAATGAAAAAAATAAACGATACACTATAAATGACAGGTCCTTGAGATATGGTGGATTTATGGCTTATAAATAGATTTAAAAATAATTGGACATGCTGCTTCTTTTTGTTTCGCAAATATAAGAGTTCACAGCCAAAAATACAGATGCTGTCTCATCCTCGCTACTTCTAATATCATTAAGTAGTAGTGTGTACAAGGTAAAAGTTTTTAAGAAGTTTAGTTTTTGCTTTAAGATTATTCTTGAATTATTATTCAATGGACTTTTAAGCAAATAGTGTGCAGCGTCCTCTTTAGCATTCCCACATACACACTTAGGCGAATCGACACGTTTGTGTTTAAATAAATAATAATTAAGTGCTGGAAAGTTTAATTTTAGCCTCAAAAGTAAAACTTCTGCTCGACAGGTCAAAAATTGTAACTTTTTAGAAAATGGTGGTACTGTAATTAAATCTGATTTTAAACTTATCCTCATTTTTAAAATGCTCATAGTGATGTAATCGCTATTTTTCACTATCAGATTATTCCATTCTTTCGTAACAACAGTAAAGAAATCTTTTTCAATATTACTCACTACCTCTACTGTAATGTTCGAATTACCTCGTAAATTATATCGAACACTTCGCCTATGAAACTGAATATGACTGATTAGATAAGCAGGTGCAAGACCTTTTACTAGGATTTCTCTGTAGGAGAGTCGATCATGTTTTTCATACGAATCTTGGAAGAATCTGATAAGAATAACGTACGAGTTTTGCTGACTCTTACGAATTTCTTATGAATTCTTGTGAGATTCTTATAAGATTCAGCAGGATTCTTATCACTTTCGTGGAAGATCTTATATAAGAATTGAGTAAGATTCTTGTAAGATTTCATAAATTTCTTTTGTCAAGGGTTCTCTCCATCAGAATTATCGCAAAAAATTGAGTGAAAAATAAAACAGAAATCGAGACTTTTACCATAACATAAATTGTATTCCAACTTCTTCGAAATAGTTAAAGCATATCTATGTCCACATATCTTTAACGATTGAATGTATTTGAGCGATCGATGTTGGTCGTGATAAGCGTTTTGGATCAACACTAAACTGTGCCTGAAAATAACCCTTTTATTTTAATTTATCTAAAAGCGAAATATATCGGGTTTGTTTTAAGGTTATAATAATTAATTTTTATGTGAATGATTTTGAACAATACGATTTCTTAGTTCATCTTTTTCACAAAGTACAATCTAATACTTCTTACAAATAGGCAATATTTGAAGAATAATCAGCATGTTCCTGTTTCAAGTTGTCCGTTTTATAAATAAACCCGCAAACATTTTTTATTGTACAAGTCCTACGAGGAGATTAGGATCCCTGATGAATTGTCTACTTACGCAGAACAAATGAACTTTTTCTCTGGCCGGTTGTCGAGAAACAACTCTCGCATTCTCAAAAATTTTGAATTTTTAACTCACTTTTCACAGATGAATTACGGTTAACAACGAGTTTATCAACACTTTTCATATTTTTCTCTAGTCAGATAAAAAAAGAGTTCTGTCAACGAGGTTTGAGTATAAACAAAAACTCGTATATCTAAAAGAAAGATGGCTTGAAGGCACACAGTTTGATTAAAAATAGTTTGTATTCCCACGATTTTCACGCTATTTGTCTAGTGAGAGTTTGATTTTTGTTTCTGCCGTATATTTGCACTAATACTAAATATTTATATTGAAGTTATACCGATGATGAAGTTTATGAAATTAACCGATGTATGATACGATATTTTTTGTAACTTCTAGACCATGAAATGGGTCAGGAACCCACTAAAAGTCCTCCTTATATGCAGACTTGTTTTTATTTGCAACATTTTTCTTTCGACTTTTTTTCCCTATCCAATGTTATTTGGTCCTCGTCGAAGGGTTATGGAGGTTTTTAGAAAAGTTTTCTGAAAATTTTGAAAAGTTGGCTTTTCGAAAAAGTTTTAGTTTGCGATTACAAAGCAAATCGAAAGCTACACTTAGTAATACCAAGAAATAGACCAAACATTTCTGATCAAAATAAGATATCTCAGCTCTGAATCATGTTCTAATCAAGAGTTATAAGAGTTTTGCTGGAAGCCCTAAAAGTTGCATCAGATACTGGCGCTACCATATCTTGAATTAGGTGTGCATCGGTGTTTTTTTCGTATTCACAATAAATAGTTTATATTTTCGTAAAAACGAGTTGCAACATCTTTCTAAAAGGGCAGTTTTGTAGAGAAAACATTTCTATACAAGATGATATGTAGTAATTAAGTTTAAAGGTTTTTGGTTTCTTTAGGGATTCTTTTTATTTCAAAAAAAAACCGATGCACTCTTAATCTCGAAAGCGACTTTGACCTTAATACTATTTCGTAGCTCCAAGATCTCTCAGTAACAAAACATTAATGGACATATAACCAGTGCTTTATGGCTCCTCTTACTTATATAACTGATCAACGAGAACAGATAGCAGATTACATGTGTATATTTCGTGATTATATGGGCTATGTCACTGACGCACGACAAAACTATGCCTATGCTTTGCAAGCGATGTATCATTATTAGGAGTACATCGGTCTTTTTTTTGTATTTTTCAATAAATCCAAAAACATTGTCGGAGAACTTTTTAAAAGTCTTTTGAAAACCTCAATTATCTAGTGATTGAAAGCGTCACAGTTGACTGTCTGTTAAAGCCTCGTGTTTTAGCTAAAGTCTCAATGTTTATCAAAAAACATTTCAGATCCCCTCGAAGCCCGCTTGAAATTATCACAAAGCACTGGTTATATGCCCATTAGATATGCCGTAATCTATTAATCATTAAGATTTCTTGTTTCAGCTTCGGAAAAGGCTTTCTGGAGACCCAATGTTGATCATTTGGGAACCGCGAACATATGTCCATTGGATGTGCCATATGGGGTGGCACCTTACCTTTACTTAGCTTGCAATTCCTGTCTATTAAAAAATATAAGGCACGTGACTATTTTTTAAATAACTCGAGAACAAAAGAGTTAAAACGTTGCGGTTTTCACCGTTCGAAACAGGAGACTTGAAGACATGTTTTCATAATCAAAATTTTTTCACAAGAATTTTCTGAAACGGGTTTTCCAGGAGGTGAACAACTAGGCCGCGCGTAAACGTTTTCCAGTAGGATTGTGTTAATTTTTTTCTTGGGCTGATAGCAGGGAGATCTTCTTCAAAATAGGAGTCAAGCAAGACCTAGATTTTTCGCTGTTCGAGCATTGTATCGCATTTCCTACGAATCTCAAGACTGGCACTCGGTCAAAAATTGGTAGCCTTAAAGACGGTTAAACTATGGATAATCGTTCTTACTGAGTGTCGTGGCAATATTTGTTTTGAGAGGAAATTCCAAAAATCTACCGAAAAGCGAGTTTTACGAAAATTACGGTTTTCAGGCGGTTTTCACCTATTATTAAAAAATTCACTATCCACTCAGAAAACATCAGAGCGACTTCAAAACTTCAGAATGTAGAGTATTTAAGCTATTCTATACCCTGTTTATAGAAGATCTCAAAAGAAAATTTTAAGAACCCTAAGGTTTTCAAAAAGGGATCCTCGAAAAGCTATTAATAAAAATGTACTTTTTTATTTCTCCAGTCTTATAATCACGTTTAGCGGACAACATTAGTCATATCCTAAAGTTTGAACGATTACTCAGCATGAACGATTATCCATAGTTTAACCGTCTTCAAGGCTACCAATAATGACCGAGTGTCAGTCTTGAGATTCGTAGGGAATGCGATACAATGCTCGAACAGCGAAAAATCTAGGTCCTACTTGACTCCTATTTTGAAGAAGATCTCCCTCCTATCAGCCCAAGAAAAAAAATTAACACAATCCTACTGGAAAACGTTTACGCGCGGCCTAGTTGTTCACCTCCTGTAAAACCCTAAAGTTTTTGAGCATCTTGGTTTTCTCTATAAGGAAAATGTCAGCTCTCTGACGTGGAATTGGCTATCAGTTCTACTCATTTCCTCTGCTCCCTTAGTTAGGTATTGCCATGCGCTCATTTTCTTTGGAGGAGCTGAGTAAATGGGAAGGAATTGTGGGTGTAATACCTCTGTCATTTCCGTGTCACGTAAATGCCTAACGGAGAATTATCGAAGAAATTTCAAGAATCTGTGAAGTGAACGATGGTCATTTCTCAATTCCTCGGGGAATTATATATATTGTTATGGTACTAGTATAAATTGGGAGAATTCTCACTTCTCAGTCCTTGAATACCCCTCCAGGTACTTGCCGGTTACTTGGATAAGTACTTGACAAGCAGATCAAGTAATCCAAGTACTTCATTTATTTGCAAAAAAAGCCAAGTAAACTTACGTTGGACAAAACTTGAGCAGGTACTTGTATGCAAATACATTCACCAGGGTAACTCACTAACACCACTAACAACTAACATGAGTATGAAAACAGAATGGGTCAACAACGGGTGATTGCGCTCAGAAGTAAATTTAACCGTAAAAGTCGGGCGAAAGTGTACCTAACCGGTGCTAGCTTTATTTCATGCACTACAAGTTGGAGGTGTCAATAGCTCTTGGTGACACCTCCAGTAGCTGTGAATAGCCATTGCTGACACCCCTAGTGGTGCCAATAGCCCTTGTTGACTCCTCATGGTGGTGTCAATATACTCACCCTTTTTTTTCATCATCCTATCGAAAACACATATACGTTCCTTTTACAGTTTACTCTACTCTAATACTATTTACACTGTAAAAGATAAAGTGTAAGCAGCGCATACTGAACTTGAACTTTTTTTGCACACTGAAAACGGCTTGTTTAGTGTGCTTGTAACACACTGGAATTGCACATATAGCTTGTATAGACAGAACGAGAAAAAAGACCAAAGAAAAGAATAATTCTTTCGTTTTTTTTCCATAGAGAAACGCAAGATAAAAATTCAGATTACACAGTGATAATTTGCATATCATTTTGGACTCGAATTGCACACTTGGGGGAATGCACACTTTAATTTTTACAGTGTAAACTTTCCTATTAGAGAAATTATTCTGTTTTTCTGTTTAAGGAATAAAATAAGAAAAGAGCAAATTTTATATTTCCATCAAATGTTCAAGCGAGTGCTCACCATAAACTTATTTCGTATTGTACCAGCTTCGTGAACTAAAATTACATTAATTAGAGGAGATCCATTTCTATTTTGTATACTAGTTTAAAGTACACGAGTTGTACACAATACTAATATGTTTTTTGAAAAGGGTCCCTTTTAGTTTTTGCGATATATGGCTGTGAATATCGCTGATTATCGTTTAAAACCGCAAGTCTTTGCAATGATAAGACAAGCGGAATATTGTTTCGAAATAAAATTTCGTAACTTAGAAACATAATAATTATTTATGCAGGAACCTTTCCAAGTGCCAGACGTCTTTCAAACTGATATTTTGCACATAAGTAGACCTTGAGAAAGTATGAGAAATCCGAAAACGACTTGTCTCCACAGGTCTTTCCTTCTGAATTATGATCGTTTTTCTGTATTTTTAGCCTGTGGCAATGTATTTTCAGCAAATCGAATGAACGACTTTCGATCTGAAATTTTGTCAATAAATAGGTCTAATGACCCTTAGAATTCCTCAAAGTTTAGTCAAACTGATGCTTTCTTCACGGCTTAATAGATTTTAAAAAAACGACTATATCTTAGAAAAAATTGGGAAAAACCGAATTTCTTGAAAATTCAGCATCTCGAAAAGGAAGCATCAGTTTGACTAAACTTTGAGGAATTCTAAGGGTCATTAGACCTATTTATTGACAAAATTTCAGATCGAAAGTCGTTCATTCGATTTTCTGAAAATACATTGCCACAGACTAAAAATACAGAAAAACGATCATAATTCAGAAGGAAAGACCTGTGGAGACAAGTCGTTTTCGGGTTTCTCATACTTTCTCAAGGTCTACTTATGTGCAAAATATCAGTTTGAAAGACGTCCGGCATTTGGGAAGGTTCTTGCATAAATAGTTATTATATTTCTACTAAATTTTATTTCGAAACAATATATGAGGACATTTTCGACACACTCATCGCGATAAGTGCTTGTTTTGTCGAAGTCATCACGAAGTTTTTTGCAGTTACAGCGATAAATAATTTATCGGGCAAAGTAATCTTTTGTATTGCCATAATGTTATTATCGCGATTTATCGATAAACAATCTTTATCGTGGTAAGTATTCTCGAAATAAAGTAATTATCACCGTAACTGCAAAAACTTCGTGACAATCTCGATAAGACAGGCATTTATCGCGATAAATGTATCGAAAATGTCCTCATGGATGTTCCGATAAGATAGTACTTTTTTTCCGAAAACGTGAAAAGTTTTCGATATTATTAACGTTTAGGTTGAGATTGTGATCCAAAGCTGAAGCCTGTGTTTGATTGTGCCCTATTGTCACTTGGCAAATTACCAGCAGAAATGCTCGTATTCGTATTTGGTTGACTAAAAGTGAGTGTCGGCGCACTTGTTAGAGAGTTCGATGAGGATGCTGCTGTACCAAAAGCACCAAATACAAATGAACCTTGCGTAACAGATGTTGTTGTTGTTGTTGGAACTGTGAAATTAAAACTGAAGGTACCATTATTCAAAGGAACAGCAGTAGAATTAGTCGATGAAGAAAAAACAGCTTGACCGAATCCAGTACTCGTGTTTAATAGACTTCCAAAGCCACTTGTTGGCGTCGATGCTAGTTGGGCAGCATTAAAGGAACAAACGTTCGCAGAATTTGATGGTGCTGTACGTGTTGCCTTTTCTCTGAATTTATTTACATCGTCTCTGGATGGCGGCGCTGGATTGGTTGGGAAAAGAAGCTGATGCCTGGGTTTTTCACCTGAATAGCTGACATTTTGTTTCCCTACAAAAAATTTGTTTATCTGAAAGGGTTGTCACATTAGAAGATCCGGATCTTCTAATCTGTCCTGAGTTTTCAAGATTATAGACAGGTCCTGTATTACGTCCCCAAAAAAATACATATTCTTCAGCACTTTTTGTTTCATTTGCAATAAATTCACGTATTTTTATTTCTATTTCATCGATATGTAAACAATAGCTTTTGCATGAGAAACTCAAAATAAGAATGTAGTCAATATCATATGAAAAAAATACTGTTTGCATCAAAACAAGCTCCCAAAACAGTACAATTTTACTTATTTTTCCACATATCAATTAAAGAAAACTCTTTAGGTGTAACTGTATTAGCATGAACCGAGGGAAGATCCAGAATATTACTGGTAGTTTCTAAGTCTGGTAAAAACTTTTACCATGAAAGATGTTTTGGGGCTACGAAGGTAGTATCATCGCCCCGGGTATAGCTAGTGTCTTTAGAGCTTTATGAAACTTTACTGATTTCAAAGTACTAGCCCGTGCTGCCGATATAAGTCGCGTACATAAATTCTTTCTGCTAGATAAATACATATCTTAATATAAGCGTACTAATATTTGAACCAAAATATCTTATTGTTAGCAGTATAACTGACGTTTTTTTCCATAAAAACCTTAAAAACAGAGTGGTCTTCTATTTCAACTATTACATAAAGAGGCCGATGAGGGTCTTGTAATGTGACAACTACTTAGAAGTCTTCTTCAAGCTCCTGATGTGCATATGACATACCTCCTGCTTGTTGTTTTTGTTTTCGTTGTCCAATCGAATTTACGAAGTTCATGTTTAAACCGGATTGTATTTGTACCAGATCTACATCCCAAAGCCTAGTTTGGACGACAATAAATTGTCTTTGAAACACAGCCAAGTTCATTTCAATGATCTGTAATGAAGATTTCAATTCTCTGATTTGATCAGCTGTAGCATCATCCTGACTAATTAATTGTTCAAGATCAAGTTTAACCTTTTCTATCTTTTCTAGTTGTTCATTTTTGTGCTTTACAAACAAAGCTTCATTTATTTGCACACTTTGTTCAATTTCTTTACGTTTTTTCGAATAAATATCATCGATCATCTTATAAATGCCCGTACGCCACTGATCCAAATCTTCGTAGGCTTTATCCGTCAGTTGTTCAATTTTTAAATTGTGAACCTTTTCAGCCAATTCATTTCTCTGTTCAACCAGTGGATGTAGTTGACCTTTAATCACTTCGATGTGTTCATTGAAATGCTTGCTGCAAACATTTTTCTGACAACAGTAACAGAGTGTAGCCACGGATCGAGTACAATCTTGAATATGACATTGGTTTTTGGGCATGGCAAACATACCTTATTATTGAATATTTTATTGCTCAAGAACCACACGACAAAAGCAGAGCGAATGTACCATTAATCGGAGAGAAGAAAAAGAATGAAAAAAACAAACAGTTATATTCAAATATCGTTTTTCAAGTGTTTCTGATAAGTTAAGAAAATATATCTTTCTGTTACACCCGTGACCATAATAAATGTTTCAAACGACAACACTATTTACACGGCAAAATGTGAGAAAGAAAGAAAGAATTCTCTTTTCTTTTTGCTCAGCACTGCGCAAGCTGGATGTATGCGATAAATGTATAGCTTTCTTCCATTTTATAGTTTCGTTGTATGGTAACCATTTGTATATTTTGCATAATAGCAACAAGAGTAATCGAAGAGCTGAATGTTTTAATGTGCTGCTGTAACAAAAGAATATTGTCTCTTACCATTATTCGCTCTTAACAAAAACAGTATTGACAAATTGAAACAAAAAAAAGCGCCCTTAGTAGAAGAAAATATGAGCAGATTGTAAGTGCTTTTCTACAAGAAGATCGAGCACCGGTTCAAGCATGAAAAGTTTCAGGAGAGTTAGGTTTTTGTATTTTATGATTAGAGTTCTGACTAGGAGTGTTAATTTAGTTTTATTGTCCATTTATAATAATGGATGAATGTAAATGAATCATTTACACTTAGAAAATAAAGATGAATTGGTGATTTATATTTAAAAAATAAATATAAATAAATCAAAAAAAAATTTTCTATATTTTATAAAAGTAAATGATTCATTTATATTTTTTTATTTCTTTCTACCTTTACTTTTAAAAAAAAAAATGTAAAAAATTCCAAACAAGTTTTCTCTGATTCTGCATGTAGATCTATAAAAAAAACTAGCTTGGAGAACTCTGGACACAGATATACTCTCAAAATTTGCTGAAAATCAGCACAACTGGAGAACTGCTACCGCTCTACTTATTTACTGCTGGAGAAAACCACTTAGAACTAATATGCTCATTTTACCTTTTTTCTTAATTCCGTAGCAAAGAAAATTTAGAAACACCGAAGAAAAGAAAATTAACACAAAAAATACTGTACCGGCACAGCGATGACCCAACTTCACAAAAACTCGCATGCACACAAAATCACACAAATATCTAAATAAACCATTACACTAGCCCTACAACCCACCATAAAACGCAAACAAAGGAAAAAATCCACCAGAATGCACCTAAGTACACAACTAGTACAAACACCGCACCGCCAAACGCCAGATGGCGCAATCATATAGTATACTCAAAAACAAAAATGTTGCAAAACAATCACA